GTAAAATTCAATTTTTTATTACTTGTATGAAAAATTTCTTTTTTATGGTTTTTTTAATTTTTATTATTTTTTTTCTCTCTCTTTTGTTAATATAAATTATTAAATTATATTTATATATTTTAGCGAAGTATCATATAAATTCATAAAATATTTTATCATATTTTGACCAAACCTATTACAGAGAACTTACACTGAGTCACACAGGAGACACTGACTCAATGGGTTAATAATAGAACTTATGCTTCTTAGAAATAACAAGTCAGTTTGTTTAAATTATAATTGGTATCACAGCCAGATTTAATATATTTTGTAATAAAAAACTATGCCGAACTTTATTATTATTTTAAATGTATTTTTAATTGTTTGTTCATTTCATATTTTATTCTTTTATATGACATAAAACATAAATCCTTGTCTGCACAGGATGTGGTTTTCCAATCAAATGGTGTCACTGTATTCTATACACGAAAATAAGAAAAAAGTGTTTATTATTCCAAGTGATTTAGGGAATACCAATCGATATTAGTTTTTTTTTAAGTTTCCTTGCAGAATAATACTATTGATCAAGTGCTAAAAATATTTTCAGACCAAGAATAAGAATTTTCAGACTAAGACATAGACATTCATTACGTGCACACTTTGTGCAATGGACATACTAGGGCTGTTATAAGAGGTATCAATGTAGATTTCCTAGTAGAAGAGTCAAGCATCGCTTAGTGTTTACGAATGTACATTCACAATTACGTGAAACAGGTTTATTTTGCTCTACAGCCGTGTTAGATTTATATTTGCATAGGTGATCGACACTTTGAACAAGAAACTAGGTGATTTACAATTTGTGTCATAACTTTTTATGAAGCTTTAAAAATAAATGCTTATATAACATTTTTGTTTTTATTTTTGTTGCATAGAATACACTGACATCATTTGGTCAGAAAAACTTTAAATACCTTGTATACTGATGTCAATCATTTTTGTAGAAATTTTTAATTCAGAGAAGTTATATTTTATCGATTAATTATCTCTCTTCCTAAATAATTAATATTATTTTTAGGAATGTTCGTCAGTTTAAGATGGGTCATAGCAATATCGATATGGATTTCTATAGTCATAGCAAATTATACACCTCCAGAAAGACTGACAGGAATGAACCCATGTATCAGTAAACAAACATGTCATGAGTGCGTACAAACTCCACACTGCGCTTGGTGCGCAGCTCCTGTAAGTAATTTTAAATCAAATATTTAAATTAATATTAATAGTTAAATCCTAATAACACCACATGATATGGTTTTTACAGAGGTTTCCTGAAAAGAGGTGTTTTCTTCCCAACATAAACACCAAAATACTAATAACATGTCCAGAGAAATTTACATGGAATCCGGACAATGTTTTTAGTATGGTGAGACACCGTAATTTAACCAAAGGAGGTTATTCGATTGGTGGTAATGCTGGCATTGAAGGTCATGGTTCTTTCGAACAAACTTCTTCCACTAATTATTCTAGCACAAGTTCTACACATTTTCAAGGAAGTTCGAGTAGTAGTAGCAGTAGTAGTAGTAGTAGTAAACGACAAGATGCTGTCCAAATGTGGCCTCAGGAAGTGAATTTAAAACTTAGAATAAGTAAGATATATAATTCATATATTTTTAATTCTGTTTTATTATTTAATATAGAATATATTTATAGCTAATTAATAATTATTTCAGACGAGGCCTATAGGATGTCGTTTGCATATTCACAAGCAGAAGATTATCCAGTTGATCTTTATTATCTTATGGATTTAAGTAAATCCATGGAAGATGATAAGAAAAAATTATCTGACTTAGGTCAGTTACTCGTAGAAAGTATGAGTAAAATTACAAGCAATTTTCGTTTGGGTTTTGGTAGTTTCGTTGATAAAGTAGTAATGCCCTATGTAAACACAATGCCAAAATTGTGAGTTTCTTTAGATATAAATAGAATGTTACTTGAGCTATGGTAGTGATTGAAAATAACTATTATATGTGTTTGTTTTTTTTTATTCCTTCTAGCCTCGTTGAGCCATGCGATGGATGCGCAGCACCATATGGATATAAAAACATCATGAGATTGTCACAAGATACAAGACATTTTGCTGTAAGAAAAAGATTCATATAGAATTTAAAATTTCAAACTGAAACTTGTGATACACAATTCATTATCTTTTTCAATTACAGGGTTTAGTAAGAAATGCATCTGTTTCCGGTAATTTGGATGCACCCGAAGGTGGATTCGATGCAATTATGCAAGCTATCGTTTGTAGAAATCAAATTGGTTGGCGAGAAAAGGCTCGTAGATTGTTAGTATTTTCAACAGATGCTGGTTTTCATTATGCCGGTGATGGGAAATTAGGTGGAATTGTTAAACCGAATGACGGAATATGTCATCTTGATTATAACGGTCTTTATACTCATTCGTCGCTTCAAGATTATCCAAGTATATCGCAAATTAATTTAAAAGTTAAACAAAACGCTATTAATATTATATGGGCGGTTACTGAAGAACAAATCAATGTATACAAAAAGTTAACGAAACACGTGGAAGGATCATTTGCAGGAAAATTGTCGGATGATTCGAGTAATGTAGTGGAATTGATTCGGGAACAATATAATGCTATTTCTAGTTCAGTAGAAATGAAAGATACTGCCAGTAGTGCAGTGAAAGTTAAATATTTTTCGAGTTGTTTAGGCTCGGGACCGGCTGTAGAAACTTCTAAATGCGATGGATTGAAAGTTGGTACGAAAGTAGAATTTATCGCTGAAATTGAAGTTACTAGTTGTCCTGCTAACAGATCTGAATGGAAACAGAAATTTGATATTTATCCAGTAAGTATCGTAAAGAATTTCATAACAAATAAATTGATTTAGTTAGATTTACATGAATATAATATTATGAACATTTGTAGGTTGGTATCAATGAAACATTAACAGTCAATTTAGAAATGTTATGTGATTGTGAATGCGAACGAGATGGTCCTATGTATGAACCAATGTCTTCTGAATGTAATGGTGTTGGTACGTTGAATTGTGGGGTCTGTGATTGTTACGATGGATTTTTTGGAAAACGTTGTGAATGCAGTCCACATCAAGAAATGAGTGGATTCGAGAAACATTTTCAATCTTGTAGACCAGATAACACGTCTCTGGTTGATTGTTCGGGAAGAGGTACTTGTGCGTGTGGTCAATGTGAGTGCGAAGAAAGAGAGAA